AATCAAAATTTCATTAAGCACAAACAACTCAAGACAAAAACACCTTGAGCGCCTCTCAACTTTTCTGTACAAACATCAAAGTGGCTTAATATTATAACTACAAGCTATAAGCTAACGATCACTCAATCCTAACGAGTTCAACCTTCCAGGTGCAAACAATCATTCACAGCCCGATAGCTCAGGAACCTCTATATCTCAGAACTAATGTAATGTAATGTGGCAAATTTGCAGCTTGATTCCATACACCTCAATTTCAACATCTTTCGCGCCATACTAGGCTAATAGCCAAACTCTAAACTGTACATCTTTCGCACACTTGGTTATCAAGTTGAATTATTTTACTCGATTCTTGATATGCAACTGCAAGAGTTGAACTATCGTTTTGATGATATGAAGACTAGATTGTTGACTTATATGACTTATCTTAACCCAGAGAAATAGTTTGCTCAATCATTGTCTCAAACTCTCAATATAGTTTAGGGTTATAGGTATAATATGCCCCTATACTATGACGCTTTATCAAACATGTCCCTCTACTATTTTTTACATCAAACATGCCCCTGTACTTTGTAAAAATGATCAAACATGCCCTTCTGTTAAAATTTTCATCCAAAAACCGTTAACCAAGGCCGAACTTTAGTTTGGGCGACACAAATAACTAAAATATCCATAATAAATTCACTTTAGAATTTTTTTCGTTCTTTTGTATAATCAAATCATTCAAATAATTTCACTTTGAAAAGACCCAGGGAAATAAAACAGGGGACAAAACTGACATTTTTCCTCCCATTTGCTGATGTTGGGTCATCTAAATCTCGGTTCAACCACGATTGACGATTTTTTTCAAAGAAAATTTTAACAGAAAGGCATGTTTGATAATTTTTTCAAAGTATAGGGGCATATTTGATGTAAAAAATAGTAAAGGGGCATATTATACCTATAACCCTATAGTTTACAATGTAACGAGGACAATTTGAATTTCGCTGCTCCGTGAGCAATTCCCGGAATGCCATTTTCGTCATTTCATCATTTAATTTATACGATTGGTTTGATTTTTGTAACCGTTTTATGTTTTTTTGGGTCTTCTATCTTGACCTTTACTCTTTATTTTACTTTTACACACGAGCTGCCCTTTGCTTTTCAACCACGGCTTAGTAATCCATGCATTATTATTGTCTTGATTACAATTGTATTCAATGAATTATATATTTTATGTTTTAATTCTAAATTCAGTTTGATTAACAAAAAAAAAAATAGATTAATCATTCTCTTGAAAATAATATTCACTTTGATATATTTCGGGGAAAAAAAATTGAATCATAGTTTAACACTATATACCATGGTGATATAATTTGATGCACAAAGGATTATATTGTAGTGGTATGAGTATATATAACATAGTACAGTCTGATTGTATACATAATAGTAGAAATACACTAACCACCATTTATCATCATTTACGATTTTGATGTAAGATGGTACATTTGACATATAAAAATTTTCTCTATTACTATGCTAAATTTTTTTTCACGATGAAACAATTCCTTATATGCAAAGGATTTTAAAATTTGAAGTAAAAAATAAGAAGAAACAATTCGATTAATAAAGTAAGGAAAATAGAAAAGATTTTTAATATCGTTATTGAGATATAATCACACTCAAAATCAAGCAGTCAGATCTGATTATACACCTTATCAATTGACTTTTTTTATGTTTTATCTGGCCCTTTGTCTTCTTCCCAACAATATAATCTCTAACACGTAGGGGTGTTCAAACGGATTGGTTACCGTGGTAACCATATTAACCGGTAGTATTCAGTTAATTTGTTTTGGTTAATTTGGATAATTGGTTTGATTTGGCTTGATTTGGTTTGGTTAAAAAATTTAGCTTATTTGGTTTAGGTGGTTTGGTTTCAACACTACTAACCAATGAAACCAATTAACCAATTAATGATACATCTAATATACAAAATTATTTATACTTCCATGCAACCAACCAAACCAAACTTTCGTGATTTCCAATTTTATTTCCATGTGCACAACAAACCAAAACATTATGGGTCAAAATTAAATGGATCTGCCTATTTAGTAAACCAAAATATTTTGGACAGCTACTAGACTTTAGAATTGCGTACAATACCATGACACCCACCTCAAACTATGTATAGTTTAAGTGTTTTGTAGGAGAGCTTTAATTTCCTGATGAGTGGTATTGGTATGTATATAATGTTTATGTAAAGGATTTGTTGTAAACTAACTATATTAGGTGCAGAGATGATGAATGATGTATTAACTCGAATGAGGATGATAATCATGGATGGTTAGTCTTATTATTATTGCTTATATATAATGATAGTTATGATAGTAATAACATATGGTTATGTTTTATTCATTAACATGATAATTTTTTCATGTAATGTTATGTTATTTGGATAATACGATTATCCAATTAACCAAACCAATTAAATTTTGGTTTGGTTAATTTGATTTTCGTGTTAATTTGGACGGTTTGGTTAAGACATTTTATTCAATGATTAATGAAATTTAAACTTAATTGGTTTAATTATTACCACGATAACCATTCGAACACCCTACTAACACGTGGTACAATTACAATACCCCATGTACTAACCTCGCCGGAGATAAAGCATAAGGGAGTTGGCTACCATCAGACGTTCCCTCCTTTTTTGTTGCGGGTCTTAAGGAGTTGTAATCTAATTCCCCCCTTCTAAACAATAAAAACCTCTGGAGTAGGATACAGACTTATTAAATCTTGAAGCATTCACAAGTAATAATTATGATGAATAACAAAGATGTTTCTCTGTCATACAAATTGTCGTTCCTGGTGGATAAATCATCTAAGTCATACCTCATCCTAGGGCTGGGAAACGGTGTGGTCTGGTCCAGACCAGACCATATATACGGTCTATGGTCCAGACTGAGAGATTGAAGTATAGACCACAGACCAGACCACAGACTATACGGTCCGGTCCAGACCACGCCTGTGCGGTCTGGTTTGGTCTGGTCCAAATAGACCATACTCAAAGAAAAATGAATAATTTGTTTAGTCAACCACACAAAAAATTGAACCAATAACCAAGAAAAATAACTGTTATTTGCCTTAAAACATTAATCCTAACATGCATGAATAATTTTGATATCCTAAATCTTAGAAATAACAAAAATACAAAGTAAAAGCATACAAACTTGCACCATAACGTTATAAACATTAACATAATCTCATATGGAGACACGATTATCTCTACTCTCTGGTTAAATGTGGTTGTGAACGAAGGAGGGACGAGATTCTCAAAATTAAGGTTGAGATTTGGGTTTCGTTGTGTGAGTTGGGAGGGTAATCGAATGGGCTATTAACACGTATTGACAAGTCGGTTGGGTCCACGGTTTGGTCCAGTAAACCGCGGTCTAGACCAGACCAGACCAAGAGATCAAAATATAAAATAAATCAGACCATGGACCAGACCAGACCATACTTAACGGTCTACGGTCCAGACCAAACTGTGCGGTACGGGTTGGACCACGGTTTTTCTAATGGTCTGGTCTATTTTCCCAGCCCTACCTCATCCTGTTACGATAAGTTGTGGCATTAGATAATTATTTTCCTTTTCAGCATTTCCCCTCTTTTGCCTTTCATGTGTGGTTGAGTTTATTGATATTTCAATTAGCTTTGATTGTCTTGCTTCCTTCCATGAATATGGATTTCTCAAAGTTTGATTGTTACTTGAAATATACATTTTTTGGATGATGAGGAACCGTTCGTTGGAATATATGTGATTTTGAGTGAACTCAAACTTATGGCTTTTACTATCAAGGTTTTGAGTTATATACAATATAGTGGATGCGCAAGCACTTCATTTTTTATAGGTATATCCGTCCATGTAATATAGCTATATAATAAATGAAGACACACTTCAAATTTTTAATCCAATTTTTTTATTATACTATTGTTTGACGAAATGACTTTTGTCACAGAATGTCTCGTGAGAGATCTCTAAGAAATGTATATATGTTAACCCTAGGCGCTCCAATATTTTCGGAGGTTAGGCGAGTCTTGCGATCTGCGTTCCGATGACTGCCGTTGCACCGGGGGGCTGCCCCCGGCGACAAAACCACCGGATCCCACCCTAGGGGTTCGCCGGCCAACATCCCTCACTTCGTCGCCGACGGGGAAGGGGCAACAGGAGACTCATCAGGCCAAGAAGAGGGCAAAGGCGATGCGAGATAATGCTATCTTTGACCAGGAAAATATGGAGGTGGAGTAGCATACTGACGATGGTGTGGGGAGACCACAGACGGCCGATACAGCTCCCACCATGCCTGCTGGTTCACCACTGCGCCCAGCGTGGGGCGAAGCAAGCAGAAAACTGTTCAGCGAAGCTGTGATGCAAGAAGAATACTACGTCGCGGAGTCCGACTCCGAGGACGTGGGAGCAGCCATGCGTGAGGATGACTTAGATGACGAAGTCCCCGAAGATGACGACCTGCGTTGCCCGACGATTCCGTTTTGTGCTAAGGAAAAAATACGATGGCGTCGGCCATGGCGATCCGCTCTGATTGTAAAGGCCCTAGGCAGAACCTTCCCGTTTTCGGTGGTATCCAGGCGCCTTGATTCTCTCTGGGTGAAGCATGGCACTCTCCAGATATCGAGTATGGTATGGGTTCAATTACCGAAGTTACCAATGTAATTCATCAATCGGGAAGCCGTTGAACGTATTGCTTCCCGTATTGGTAAACCCATTAAGGTAGATCGGGCGACGTAGATAGGTGATCGTGGGCGGTATGCTCGAGTCTGCATAGAGGTGGATCTAACGAAGCCACTCCTGTCGCAATACAAGGTGGAGGGGAGAACTTATTACATTAATTTTGAGGGGCTCCACAATATTTGCACTGAATGTGGGAAATATGGCCACTCGACCAAGGGTTGCCCTACTTTGTTCCGTACCCCGCCCAGCCCTGCCCAGAGTACTTCCCAAGTCCCACCAGTTGAGGAGGAAGCTCCAAGGAAGGTCTATGGGGAGTGGATGATCGCGAAGCCGAAACGTAAGGAGGGTGGAGTGACTACCCCCAAGTTGAAGGAGCCCCAACCTCAGCCGACGGCAGAGAGACAAACGAAAAGGCCAGAGAAGCCAACTCGGGCTCAGGAGAATGCAGGATCTCGATGCCGAGGGCTAGAATTGGAAGTGGGGTCAGACGAGGAGGAGGGGACTGAGGAGATCGAGATGGAGGCCCCTCCTAGTGAGGACCTTACGGGACAAACATCTATGCATGTGGAATCAGGGATCGAGGGCATCCAAAAGGGGAACAATATCGGAAATGCAAGTGATACGTTGCATGAACCTTCATCACCAGACACGAGTGAGACGTCCAATGCTCCCAAGGAGAAGAAAAGCGAGAATGATGCCCCGCCATCTGCCCCGCAACAGTCCCGACCCCAACTAGTGAAAGTTCGGATTCAACAAGTTAATCATCTCCATAAAGAGTTGGCTAGCAATGCTGGGCGAACCGGAGGCAACCTTCCTATTGCTGATTCTAGGACGCCAGCTCATCTGAACCACCCGGTCCATAAGAAAGGGGGTGGCCATGGACCTAACCAAGGGCATGGCCCACCGGAGAACAACCATACAAACCAAAAGAACGGCAGCACCGGGAAGGGCGCTCAACATGGCAAAGAGTAGGGAATGTCAGGGGGGCCCACTGCCCCCCTGTAAAGAATCGTTGATCTAGAGTGTGGAGCTCCTCCGCTTTGCTCAGGGAAGTCTCTTCCTTTCTCGTTTGTTAGCATTTTGTAATGATAGATATACTTTCATGGAATTGTCAAGGGGAAGGCGCCGATGAGTTTGTCCCTTTATTTTACTCGTTTGTGGGTTCTACGAACCCGGATATGGTTTTCATTCTTGAACCTCGTATTAGCGGTGTAACCGCGCGTAATGTTATTGCCCGTTTGGGGTTTGATGGGGTACTAACTGTTGATGCTCGTGGTTTTGCAGGAGGAATCTGGGTGCTTTGGCGGGAGAGCGAGCTCAACATCTCGCCCATTTATGAGTGGGATCAGATGATTCATATGCGAGTGTCGCGGAGAAAAGAGCCTCAACACGAAGTGCTGGTTTGAGCCATTTATGGGAGCCCAAATGCTTCCACTCGCCAGGACCTGTGGGATGCGTTGGTTCACATAGCTCATGACACTAGGCTGCCTTGCGTCTTAGCAGGGGACTTCAACTCTGTTTTGGGGCCAACCGAGAGAATGGGAGGAGCGTCATATCGGGAGGCTCGTACTAGGCCGTTCCGGCGCTGCATGGATGAGGGAGGTTTTGTGGATTTGGGATTCTCGGGGCCGCGATACACTTGGAGACGTGGTAATCTCTCCCAACGACTTGACTGAGCTATTGGGAACCAAAGCTGGCTATTGAAATTTCCAAACACAGTAGTTCGGCACCTGGAGCGAATAGGCTCGGATCACCGTCCAATCCTGGTGCAATCTGAGGTGAAGACTCCTCGACAAATCCGACCCTTTAGATTTCTGGCGGCTTGGATGGGGCACCAAGATTTCCCTCGGTTGCTAGAGGAAACGTGGAGCAAGGAAGCGGGTTTCACGCCGCAAACTGTCCTCCTGACGGAGGAGCTCCAGAAGTGGAACAAGGACATATTCGGGCATATAATGAAGAGGTTGATTGGGAAGCTGCGACGACTGGAAATAAGGAACGAAAGTCAGGCGTGGGAAGCGTCCCATGAGGAGGAAAATTCTGTCAGGAAGGAGTTGGAAACCACCCTCTGGCAGGAGCAGCTCCTGTGGCTTCAGAAATCGAGAGTTATCTGGGTAGTGGAGGGCGATCGAAATACCCGGTATTTCCACTTATCAACCCTCAAGCGAAGGAAGTTTAACAGGGTAACCAGCTTACAAGATGAGAATGGTGAATGGATCCATGATGATGTTCTTCTCCAAATCATGCTTGAGACTACTTCATCGTGTTATACAGTGCGGATCAAGGGGGCACGGCCCCGCTGGTCGCGGACTTCACCAAAATCTCAGATACCACTGCTGATGCCCTTGCTCGACCAATCACGCAGGAGGAAGTTTGGAGTGCGGTGAAGGCAATGGGGGGTTTCAAGGCCCCGGGGAAGGACGGTTTCCCTCCCATCTTTTACCAGAAGTAGTGGAGGGTTGTGGGGTCCTCCTTTGAGGAGTTTGTCATTAAGTGCTTCCAGGATCCAGAGCTTATACGAAGTATCAATATGAAACTCCTCACTCTCATTCCGAAGAAGGCGAGCCTGACGTCTATCAAACAATTCAGGCTGATAGGATTGTGCAATGTGATTTACAAGTCTTTGACGAAGTGCATAGTCAATCGAATTAGGCCGGAGATGCGAAGCCTGGTACATCCCACGCAAACAAGCTTTTTCCCTGGACGGCATATTACGAGTAACATTATTATTCTCCAGGAGGTGGTGCACTCCATGAGTTTGAAGAGAGGAAGGAAAGGCCAGATGGTAATTAAGATTGACCTGGCAAAGGAGTACGATAGGATCAGCTGGCCCTTTGTTCAAGAAACTCTTACTGCTGCGGGTTTCTCTCAAAAGCTAGTGGACGTGATCATGGCTTGCATTACAACATCGACGATGCATGTTTTTTGGAATGGGAATTGCACGGAGGATTTCACCCCCTCCCGTGGGTTGAGACAGGGATGCCCGTTATCTCCGTACTTGTTCAAGCTCTGCATGGAGCGCCTGAGCCATCTCATTGAGGAGGCGGTCCGCAGAAAAGACTGGAAGCTGATCAAAACTTCCCCAGGTGGCCTGATAGGGCAAAAGCGTATAGCTTCAATTCCTATCTTGTAGTAAACCGGAAAGTCCGGGTATCGTCTCTCAGGGACCGGTACAACCTTAAGTTCTAACAATTTTATTGAGCAAACTATATGTAAAAATGTTTAATGAGATGAAACTATGATCTAATAGCAAAGTAATTAAACAAAACAAGCAAATTAAATTGGTCGAATTTAATTCAATGGGAGAAAGCTCTGGGAGAAACACCGGGATTCACTACCTATCCTATCCAGATTAATTCACATATTCCAATCAATTTAATCCATACCTCTACAGCCAGGATATCACGAATGTGCTGCTATCCCTGTCGGGAATCACTACGTACTAAATAATCAATTCAAATCCTACTGTCGTAGCTCAATGAATTAACTATATAGTCTGAAGATCGATATCCTATTTAAGACCGCATAGCACCTTATTTAATCCACTGTCGCTTCGATAAGTTACTATGTCACATGAAATAGGTTCAGTTATTAGGGTTTCACTGTCGTTAACAACCTGATTAACTACAATTCATTGTATTGGTGGCCAGTCAACACAAAGCATTAAGAAATTTCATGCAATAGAGATTGGAAGAAAAGAATCATGAATCAATCCATCAAATCTAGAAATAGCTACATCCTATGGTGTTTCCCCCAGAAATTGGGGTTTAGTTCATGATGAAATTAAGATAAAACAATAGGGTTTTGATCATCATGTTCTAAATCAACAATACACAACTAGTTCGGTTCAGAGAATCCAACCAACTAATCGCTCTCGTTGAACTCAGCTCAAACCTTGGAGAAACCGATCGCCAATGGCCAATCGCCCGATGCTTCTCTGCTGCCTTGCGCTGCTGCCTTTTCTTTCTTTCTCCAAAACAATTCTCCCTCCTGTTCTCTCTCGCTACGCTGCTCGCTCCTCTCCGTTTTATTCTTTCTTTTTCTTTTAGTTGCCAGCCTCCCAAAAATAATTGCGTTCCCAAAATAAGCTGCTCCCAAAACCACTTCTGTCCGGCCCAAGAAACTTCGTCCCAATAGAATTGTGGCCCCAAGCTTCCGCTTCCTCCCCCTAGAATTCGCCTCTTTTTGCTTCTTCTCTCCTCCGTAGAATTTTCTGGCCCACAAATAAATGGCCACCCAAAGGAATCTCTCCCCAGCAATTGTTTCCGCCCCAACCAAATCCAAAAGTTTCCTCTCCGGCCCATGTCATTAATCCCTATCCTGCTGGGCTTTAAGCCCAGCATTCGAGAATTGTTTGCCGGTGCAACTTCTTTTTCGTGTTTTCTTCACCTGTAATACATCAAACTCATATCACTAGACAATAATGGTTTTTCAACCATTTCCGGGTTAGCGAGCCCTAAAATAGCACCAATTGGCTAAAACATACCATGGGATAATCACATAAAGTCCAAGAATTCAATATGTTAAAGCCGATTATCATGGCCCGACCCTCTCTCATTTGTTTTTTGCTGACGATCTTATTTTGTTTGCAGAAGCTTCTGAGAAACAGGGTGGTCGCATCATCATGGATTGTCTCGATCGATTTTGCGAAGCATCAGGGCAGGCGATCAGCAAGGAGAATTCTGTGGTGTTCTTCTCCTAGAACACTCCGCGATCTGAGAGTTTAGCTGTGTCTAGCATCCTGGGCATCCCGACGACCCAGAACCTGGGCATGTATTTGGGCGTTCCAGTTCTCCACAGTCGAGTTACCAAGGAAACCTATCGCTACATCTTGGATCGTATGGACAATAAAATGGCAGGGTGGAAAGCAAAAAACCTGACTCTGGCCGTACGAGTAACTTTTGCAACATCGGTCCTGAATACTCTTCCCTCCTATGCAATGCAGTCAAAATACTTGCCCATATCCATCTGTGATGAGATCGATAAGCGTATCAGTGGCTTCATCTGGGGGTCAACGGCTGACGCAAAGAAAATCCACCTCGTCCATTGGGATGGAGTGTGTCGGCCTAAGGATGAGGGGGGACTTGGTATCCGGAAAGCTCATGAGCTGAACATTGCTTTCTTGACCAAGCTAGCCTGGTCATTTGTCAAAGAGCCAGAGGAGCTATGGGTGCGAGTCCTCCAGGCGAAGTACTTTAAGTCTGTGCAGGGGGTTATGCAGCCAAAATCAAGAGCTCGCACCTCCAACCTATGGAAGGGAATCTTGAAAGCTTGGCCGATCATGGCAAAGGGTATGTGTATGTGTATTAAGGATGGAGCCTCCACGAGTTTCTGGAATGATAGATGGGTGGATAGTGGTGATACACTTCTAGACCATGTGAGGATGGATGGACCTGAACCGGACCTTACTCTTCCAGTGGCAGCTTTTGCTTCGGCTTCAGGTGAGTGGGACATTGATGCTCTATCACATGTTTTGACGAATGAGGGTGTTTTGCAGGTTATGGGAGACCAACCGTCTAAGGAGCATGCAGGAGAGGATGTGGCAACTTGGGGACCCGAGCAGGATGGCAGGTTTCGAGTTCGATCTGCTTATGCTGTAACACCCTAACCCGGCCGGGTACTACTTTTACCAAAATTCCCTTGATAAATAAAATACTCAAATCTAAAATTTCAACTGGGAAAAGTTTTACTAAATAAAATTTACTGAAAACACGCACTTGTAGTTCAGAGCAAAGCCCTAACATGTGGGTAAATTAAACTCAAACTTTAAATCTCAATATGATCTCCAGTCTATAACACGTGGGAAAATTAAACTCAAACTTTAAATCTCAATCTGATCTCTAGTGTATACTCATAATCATATAACGTAATAACTAACTAGTCTTAACTGTTGTTGCTGCTCATAGGAGACCCTGACTGGGCGTCCTCCAAGACTCTCATGTCGTTCTCCTCTAGATGGCTGCCCTCAAACTCGCTGCCCTCTAAATGCTCCTCTGGCTCTTCCTCTAGCTCCTCAAACTGGTGAGTGAGATGGGGTCAGTCTACGCCCTTACGTTTAACCTCTTAGTAAAACTTGAGCACTTTACTTAACTGTGTGGAAGTTATTTTGTACTTCCACTATTGAAAAGCTTAACTCTTAAAACTGTATGGGAGTTACTGTTACTCCACTCTCAAAACTCAATGCTAGACTTAAATCTTTGACTGACACTGGGATCCCCCACTAGCTAGTCCGGTTGCCA